ATCTAATGCATATTTACCAATGCTTCGAGTTCCAGGAATATCGATATGCCTTGAGAAAGGCTCTTGCGCTTTGCCATACAATCTACTCTCCAGAGTTCATGGTATCTTAGATGAGCTTTGAGGATTTCAAAGATTAAGTTTTCGATAGACCTTATACGGGCCTGGCCCAGGCACCGTGCTGTGATACTACATCATGAATAAGTAGAAGAACTAGTAAATCCATCTTATTTGCATCAACCAGCAAGCTCCGCCTCGTTCTTGGATACATCTCTGTTCATCCCACATCCGGCATATGCACCAGTACCTATGACATTTAAGTTAATTTTCATTATACTCGCATAGTCTCCTACCGCAGACATTTTGGCAAATGGTCACCAGCTCTAATTAGTCTGCGAATCTGCTTGCGATACGAGTTAAAATTCTGCAGATGAGGCAATTCACCCCCTTTTCCTCGGGATGCTTAACGGTGCAGTAAGTACATAGGGTAGTATTAGTTGGTTGAGGTTTTCGGTGCTGTGGCTTGGCCACGGGCATATAGGACCCCTTTAACCTAGGTTCTCCGCCTACTGTCAGTTTATTCCATCTTTGGTTAGGACAATACGACCTTTGGGGCTCTCCTATATCTAGAGGGCGTTCTTGATTTGACAAGGGGCTTTACGAAGTGTATAGGTTACAGGTTAGCTACATGGTGTTGGTAGCAATACTGAACTGCACCTTCATGCTGCATGATGTAGTTAGGTACTAACCTAGTAGCCTGCCTACCTAGACTGTGGGATATTCTCAATATGAATTAGGACCGGGGCTCCTTATCATCAACTATGCATGATACCTATATTTCAAACGTACAAGAATTACAAAGTAGACGGCCACAGTCGAGAGACCATGGACTTGCTTCTGAAAGAATTTGGGGGGTTTCCTTTTCGTTACGACCAAATTGCTTGTATTTCACGTCGATCGGTCGAATTACTTAACATGATACATTCAGGGGTTGGAACAGATCCCAGTGCTCTAGTTGAACTGATAGATATGTTGCAAGCTGTCCTATGCATATCTCGTTCGTATTTTGCATTGTACAAGTCATTCCCAGAGCTCAACCCCAACAATCTACCTTACAAATACCCGGTCACCCTGCCTCCGGATTTCGCGAAGGTCCTGGCCGCCTTACCAACGAACTTGCTTAATTTAAAGAAAGCTCTGTTTCGGATACTCGATTTACCACAGATACTCAAGCCTTATCCGTCCGGAGCAAGTCTCTGAAGTTGCTGCAACATGGCCCTGGAACTTATAGCAGAAAAGGCACATCGTGAGCTAACCCACTCACTATTCCCTCATTCCAGAACTAAATTTGTTCATATCAACTTTTTAAGCCCTTATGCGAGAACTTGACGAAGGTAATCCTAGCTATTTGTTAGAAATCGATACTTGGTCTGACTTTCCCATATTGACGCAAAGAGCGTACGACGGTTGTGAATTCTGTAGTTTTGTTCTAGAAGTTCTTCATTCTATAGGCGAACCTGCTAGATGGAGATGGCCCAAAAATAACCCTAGCCTAATATCAATTAGACATTTATGGAGGGGTGATAAACTCGTGGGCATTACTATCGAAATATGCAAGAATGTCAATGAGACATCGCTCGGCGAATATCGCCGAGAGTTTCACCTTGAATCTACTGACGGTATGTGATTTCATGAATTTCATGAATCTGTTGAAAAGGTTGGGTTTTAGTTGCTCACACCTTCGTATGTTAATAGACGCTATTATTGCTGCGCTCCACCTGTATCAACCACCTCGAAAAAAAACCCTTAGATCCCGCGAATATTGCCTTCATTCAGGAGCAGCTCAGGTCATCTATAACGCAAAGCCGATCTCTTGAGTCAGATGTATTTGTACCCAAAAGACTTGTTGATCTAGGCCCGCGGCAGGATTCAACCCCTATTCTCGTCACTATGAACAAAAAGAAGCCCGTTCAGTACGCCGCATTGAGTTACTGCTGGGGTGAAGAAAGCAACGCTGAAAACCAGTTAAAAACGACAATAAATACACTAGAGAAACAGGGAGAAGGCATGTCACGATTAGCGATGCCACCAGTGATTCACGATGCTGTAACGGTATGCAAAGCCTTGAATATCCGCTATCTATGGGTTGATGCCCTTTGCAGTTTACAAGATAATGAGATAGACTAGGATGAGCAAAGTTCCCACATAGGTGAAATCTTTCATGCGGCCTATCTGACGATATGTGCTGTGGCATCAAATTCATGTTTAGAGGGTTTTCTTGAGGACAGGCCACATCCAACGAGAACGTTTCGTCACCGTACCCCTGACGGTAAAGCTACCGGGCTATACAGCCTGTTTCCAACAAACCCTCCATTTAGTAATATTTCTATGAACAGTCCGCTAGTTCAGGATACTAGATCGTCTATATGGAACCAGAGAGGTTGGGTGTATCAGGAGAAGTCTCTATCGCGGCGAAAGCTTTACTTCGGGAAGCGCCAAATTCATTTCCTGGGTGGCCAGAAAATTGTATCTGAGAATGGTGAGGTTCAGATTATCCGTACAGAATGCAATAACTTACATCGAAATCTGCCTAAGAACGCAACACTGGATTACCTGGCAGACCACAAGAATCCCAGGGACTATTGGTATAGGACCGTCGAGCAAATCGCCCATTTACAATGGACGGTACAGACAGACTTGTTCCCTTCCATCTCCGGCTTAGCCTCCCAGTTCCACAAGGTCATTTCTAGCCAATATCTTGCCGGCCTCTGGGCAGATGACCTTCACTGTGGCTTACTTTGGATGCAGGATAACATAGGTATAGGTCTTATTTCGGCGCCTCCACAAGTCCCAAAGACTAAGCTCGAATTTATGAATTCGCTGAAAGAAAACGGATCTCAACTAGGACCTTCATGGAGCTGGGCCAGGCCTCGGAGCAGTGGAATAAATTCCATAGTACCTCCGCTCCATCGCCTAGGCGCCCGAATAAGGACACACCTACGCCCAGAGTTCAGCATTCTCGAGGCTTGTGTCCGGACCGATAGTGCCAACCCCTTCGGGAAGATTCGTGCCGCCTCGTTGAACGTGTTCGGAAGGGTGCTAGCTCCCCAAATTGAGGAAGGGGCACTCCATTATAAAAATGATCACTTTGCCGAGCTTACTTTTGACTGGGCCCGACCAAGGTTCTCGCCTGGGTTCATTGACAAAGAGTTACAAGCGGAGTTGTTAATGTTTTTAGTGTCAAGCTGCTGTGCAGACCCCTCAGACCCTTCCGCACCCGTTGAAGAGACAAAACCCATACAACATGCAGCGGGAGAACTTAAGATGATGGTATCTCAAATTCACCGACCTGTATACAGAAAATTATACTACAATGACAGTCACCTATCTGGAGAAAAGGCTAGGGCGGAATGTAGTGCTTGCCAAGGCCCAAAAGCTCGGCGGGATGTCTGGGGATTTTTGATCTATCCTGCTGAGCGACCAGGCACGTACTACAGAGTCGGGGCTTTTGCTTCGAGGGTAGGGCTAGGAGGGTCTGAAATATTCAACGGTGCAGAGGATCGGAAACTCGAACTCATATAATACTCTTTGGTAGCTTAAGCATGTGAGTGTTTGAGCCCCTTACCCAACCATTTATTTCTTCCACAAACACATGGGGCATTTATTTAAGCTCCTCAATGTATCAGTTAATTAACATTTTCTAATTGCTAGTATTCAATTTGGTGGATGTTAGTTAGGTTCAACCTAACTCAGCCATATCAGAGAGGAGGAGAGGGCACAACGTATCAATCTCACAGCTATGAACCAAATACAGAGTTACTGTATAATAAACATCAGCTACAAGAATACATGGTTGGCCTAAATAGTTTATATCGAGTTTAAGTCCAGGCCTAACCAACATCGTATCTATATTACCGTACAACAGGAGAGAGGAGAAGATGACACAATCTATACACACGATACTGACATTAACTAGGTACTTTCAATTCGACCCACCTTACATTAAACCAAGGACCCCATTCTATCCAGAAAGAAATTTCCAAAGCGCCCTTTTCTCTACTCTGCATAAAGAGTCGTCGTTTGAAACGTATTATCTTCCAAAGGGTAGCTTCAACACGATATAATAGTCTACAAGGCCTGAAACCTTCAACAACAAGCGTGGTACTATCTCAAGTCTAGCGCATCGGTCGGTTAGCTCAGTTGGTTAGAGCGTCGTACTAATACAATCCCGGTTGTATCATGTAATGCGAAGGTCATGAGTTCGACCCTCATACTGACCATAGACCCTTTCTTTTTATTCACTTTTTGTCCACAAGTTATATCAACGTTGATGCTGCTTGACAATCCAGCGTTGATTTGTATGCATGTCTGGACGTATATGGTATCCAAAAAACTTTTCTAAGTAGTGGGTGACATGGCTGGAAACTAGAATCATGAGGCAATCCTTTAACATGCTTGCGGTATTTTGTATACAAGTTCTTTCTTTCTTTCTTTCTTTTTTCTTTTTTTCATTCACTATTACATGTGATATCGGTTTCCGGTGATATTTTGTAAAGTAGGGTAGGTAAGTATATAATTTCCTAAGAATTGACGTTGTGAATCAAAGTTTAGTTGTGTCACGTTTAACGTTAAGCTTTAAGTTTAAGTTGAGTAACGCCATGTTATTACACTCAGATCTGATTCGACGGCAAAATTCGATTATGGCCAATCATCAATCAAACTTATATTGAAGTCTCAGTGCGACTTCTTGAATCATGATACCTGGGCTTATTTGAAACGTAAATAGTTCGTTAAAACTCGCAAAAAATATAAGCGTATAATCCACAATGTTCCAGTTCGTATAAATGTGCTCTTGATATGCGTCCAGAGGTTTTGGGCAGTCTAGGCTCGTACACATTTTTACTCTCCAAAACACCTACCTACCCACCTACATACTCTTAGATTTTCTTCTCCCGTACGAAAGACAAAAAGAACAAGTGCTTCATGTGTTCAGATGGACATGTTGGTCCCACTGAGGGTCGAACTCAGAGCCTTCGCATTATTAGTACGACGCGCTAACCGATTGCGCCATGGGACCGATGTCGCCAACATCAACATATTTTACGATATAGCTTCTGTGTCTGGAGGTCGTTCTAGTGCTTGCAAGAAGAAGCCTTTCGTTTAACATGAAGACCAATCATAATCTCTATCCCAACCCCTTCGTACTAAACTTATCATGATACTTCGTTTCGAGCTCGTCCGTCCCTGGCCCCCTCCCCCTAACAAGACCCATTCCTAACGAAAGACAATAATGTTTCGATTTTGATAGGCTGAAACTTATCGAGCTTAAAGTGGCTCTTTTGCGTAGCTATGAAAATGTTTGTTTGAGGGGTTTAGATATGGTTGGAGCCCGGTTTAGATTTCTATATACTTTGGTAAGTGTAACAATATGGAAATAGATCGTACATATGCTGTTCCCCTTGGATAAATCGTTTAAGTGAGTCAACTATGTGTAGGTTGGTATGAGTACAGCCCGTTCCTGACCTATGACAACGTAGGTCATCACCTTCCTCCCCTATCAGGGTTGACAGTTCATAAGTTCGTGGAATTAATAAGATATTTCTGTGTATATATATCGGTATCACATGCAGTTGTAGTTCTAGATTCCGCGCGCAACAACACCGTGATTACCTAAGTTCTTGCTAAGTCCATCAAAGCATCCCTTCCTCCTCCTCTCCTGTTTTTGGGAGGGGTTGGAGGGGGGGTTTCACCGACCCCTTTAACATGCCTCTAGAGATAGCATTTCTCTTTTCCTTGATTTAGTGATTAAATGCTATATCTGGTCCTTTACACATTCGCATTCCCCATACTCCTTTTCACCTAACCTGCACAAGCTACACGTAGCAAGATAATAACCTCGCGCACTATCAAACGAGAAAGAGAGTACACAGCATAATAAGAAAAATTGGAAGTAAGTAGTTACTATTAATGTAAGAATGGCCGCTGGAGAACTATGTTTCGAGGGACTCGGGACGACCACGACTCTTATATATCCAATCAACGGTGGGTCTCCACCACGTAGTGTCATCGTAACTGTATCTCTAGCTTCTAGCCCGTGACACGAACTTTGTTTCCCTCGAATATCTAAACATTGCATTATCCCCTAAGCCATTATACCTCAGTACTTAAATATATACTTAGACGCCTAGGTAAATAAGTATGGTTAGATATGTACATATATTATGCAGATCCGCGCGGCTTCACTCATTACATTACGCCCCCTCCGATCCGTCCCCTCTGTCCACCACTACACCACAAAAACAAATCATGTTAAGCATGAAACCCTCTTATTTTTCCATGGACACTCTAACGTACCCTACCCTTTCCACGCCCGTACTCTCTTTATTCCCGGTCCATCCACGCGTCCAACCACGTACGCACCTCGCAACCCAGCCAGCCAACCAAAACCAGCTTACCAGAAAACCAACCACGTCTCTCCTTTACCCATTCGAATTACGACAACAAGATAAGACACTCACCCGCGCAGGGGAAAAAAAAGAAAAAAGACAAACCCAAAGCGTGTAAGGTAAGATAAGTAGTGTACCTCAATAAAGTGGGGGTGCCGTGATCTTGCACAGCCCGTCCCCGTTCCGTGGGTACCGGAACTCTGGTCCCCCATTTTCTGTCTCATTCGGGCCCGAGGGCCCCCCACTCCCCACCCCGAAGAGATTAGGTTTAAAAAAGGGGTGTGGGGATATAAAAAAAAGGAAGCTGTGGGAAAGAAGAAGGATGGAAGAATCTGGAAGAAAGAGGGACTAGACACGCGGTAAGACCGACAAGGCCCGAGAGGATATCGATATGGTATAAGTACGATTCCCGAGAAGCGACACGAGAAAGTCATGCGTTATATTTATGCTTGCTTATTTAACTACTTGTGCATACATAAATGGGTGTTGTAGAAGATAGGTAGGGTATGAGGCATAGCATAGACGTTATCTTAGGCTTTATCTGCGTAATCAAAGTCAGTAGAAAAAAAATAAAACTAGATCTACCAAGGTTACCTAGGTTAGTGTAGGAGCACTGGTATGACTGCTCTTCAACCATCGTTCATCTCACGCATACCTATTTACTAGAATCGCCTACATAAACAAACCCCCCTCCTTCTACATCCCAAAGCCGAGCCTTAAACTTCCTAGTTAGATGGGAGAATTTGATGGGTTAGGGGCGCAAGTTGAGAAATCTTACTCAAATCTCCCAATTGCCCTTCCCAAATCAGCGCCATGTCCAAGAACAGCATATATATCTTCCATCATCCCATATTTACCATAAACGTAACCTATACCCAAGCACCTAACCTCGGCAAGTATGCTACCAAAGTACGTATATATAATATAAAACTGTATTAAGTGATTAATATATATATACCCGTTACCCTCAACCCCTAAGTAACTTTCCTACTATCACCCCCTTTCGCCCTTTCCCCTTTTCTTCTTTCTCTCTTAAATAGTTATTGTTTGTTAGTCGGCCGTGAGATGACATTGATCGTACAAGATAAGATGCTTGAGCACCCCCCCCCCCTCTTCTTCTTCACTGGTCTTAAAGAATCCCCATCTCCATCCATCACATCCTTCTTTTCTTCTCCTTTCTTATTCCTACTGCATATATACATACATACAACATTACAACGCGTAGAGGTAAAAAACCACGAAACAAAAAAGTCGCTTATACGTTATATGCCCAATCCTCTTTCTGTCCTTTCCGCAATGCCAGGAAATTGATTAATTTGTTTCGAAGCAAGATTTTGAAGAAGTGAAAAAAAAAAAAGCCTCCATCTTTTACTTTTACTCTTCTTTTTCTGTTCTTTTTTTTTCTCCTTATACGACCAACAATTTAGGGAACCGCTTTTCGGTCCTTGATCCCTCCTCTTCTTCCTTGACCTTCTTGGCGCGCTGTGAAGCCCTATCCTTGGCCAGCTCGGCCTTCATGTTCTCTATCTCCTCTTCCTCGGCGCTCCGGGCATCGCCCTCTTCCTCCTGCTGCTGCTTGAACCTCTCGAGCCACTCCTCATCCATGCGCTCCTCGTCGCCATCGTCGAGGATACCGGGTATGTATTCGGCGGGCTGTAGGAAGCCCTTCGCGTCCGCCTCCACGATGGCGTGGAACATCTTGGTGGCCATCATCTCGTAGCCTGCGGTGACGGGGTGCATGCCGTCGGGGCCGAGGTTCTCGTCCTGGATGCCGTCGGGACCCTGCATTTCGGCGAAGACGACGGGGAGTCCTTGCTGCTCGTAGATCTTGGCTAGTTTGCGGATCTGCGGGTTGACCTGCCAGACATCCTCCCGTCCGTTGAAACGCGTGTCCCAGGTGGGCAGGATAGTGCAGATGACAATGGTAGATCTCGGGGAGGCCTCCAACAGGTATTGAATAAGGGCATCGTACCGCTTGTAGAAGTTGGGGATATCGATGTGCTGGAAACAGTCATTGGAGCCGGCATTGACAAGGACGAGATTGGGCTTCGTAGGGGGCACGGCTTGCTGTGCGTGCTCATGAATGATATGGGTAGGGACACCCGGATAGGCCTCGATATCATTATCGGTCATATTGCCGATGCGTTGCGTGCCGACGAAGTTAACGGGGTTGCCAATGGAGGTGAGCTTCTCGCGGAGAGGTCGTCGGAAACCATTGTTGTCCACATCTACGTCAGGGCAATCGCCGCGGGTGGTGGATGCGCCAAGGGCCATGATGCGCAGAGGTAGGCCATTAGCGAGAGGCAGTTCGAAGCCTGGCCGCTTGTAGGGTTCGGTCTTCACATAACCCGTAGTGGACTGGTTGCCATTGACTACGGTGTTGTTGCCCTTCACATAACTAACGACCGAGTCCTGATCGGGGCGGACATCAGGATCACCGGCTACATAATTGAGGCCGTCCTGTATGCTGTCCTGAATGGGCCTGACGCCATTTTTTATGCCGTCGCTAAAACTGTCTAGCCGCTGCGACCATTCTCCATCGGATCCGGAAAACAAGACAACTATACGACGTCATAATTAATTTAAGGGACTAGGCCTGGAGTGGGAATAGTGACTTACTGATTAATATCAGTGGTACGAATAGTAATAGTAACAATCGCTTCCGGGCCAGTACCATAGAGACTATGGGACTCGAAGATAACTGTTGGGGGAGTTTATCCATGTCTCTCCAAGGCGAAGATGATCGCCACATGGTAGTATTTTTGTTTTTGTTTTGGGGGGAGAAAGGGAGAGGAGGGGGATGTTTAGTTGTAAGTGGTGTAAGTTAAAAGGGAATAAAAGAGAGAAAGAGAAGGGAAGAAACAAGAACTGGGTATTAGAAAGAAAATGTAATGAATGAATGCGACAACACCATAGATGCACAACCACAAATAAGGGAGGGGGAGGGAGAGAGGGAGTGAGAAAGCGAATATGAGAGGGAGAAGGAATTAGAAAGAAAATGGAATGGCGAAAAGATGCGATAAGAAGAAGAATCGGGTCCTTGATGAATCGATTGACTGATGGAGCACATGCTGGGTAACTTTATTTTCTTAGGTGCTTTGGGGGGGGGGAGAAGAAGAGAAGGTATGCACTGGATGCACAGGGTAACTTGTGCCGTCTTGGCCGATTTCCGTCACCTAAAGCTGGTGCCAAGGATAAGGCCAAGGAAAGCCAAGCCAAGCCTTGTTTGGCCGCAAAAAAGTCAATGTTGTGGTATACTATTGTAGTTGTATGTATGTCTGGTGTGTATGTACGTAACCTTCAGGTATGTAGTATAGTGTATATACCTATTAAATCTTACACTACATAAAGGGGTGGGATGTAGTCAGCAAGCAACAAATAATATTGATAACAATATTAATATTAATTATTTACTCTGCTAATAACTTGTAAGTAGTGGCAAAAGTAAAAAAATAACAAAGACAGATTAAATAAATAAAAAAGGAGAGATGGGAAAAGAGGGAAAACAGACTATGAGAAGAAGAGAGAAAAAGAAAAAGGGTTGAATTGAATAAATTACACTACTACATATAAGGTACCGATACCTGTCTAGGTACCCTCTTCTTGTCTTTAGGGACGATGCATTTGTCAA